ATTCCTGCTCAAAACTGAATGTATTCCTGAAGAGAAATGTCTGTAAGAAGAGGCCACAATTTTTACTGGAAACAATAACAAGAGCACTGGTACAGCATGCAGCATGGACTCAGCAGTGGGCTACCTGCCTGTCGGATGATGATACCAACCATCTACCCAGCCTGCCTGCTGGAGAAGCCACTATGGGATGGCAAGCCCTGTGGACCCACATGTGTGGTTCTTGACATCTGAGGGTGTGGTATGCCCCAAGCTGGGCATATCACTGCATGCCCCAACCCCAACCCATATCATTGCATGCCCCATACCTGGGAAGTCAGGCGCACAAGCTCAGCCTCCCCCCAAACAGGATGCCACCCGGTGCCCAAACTGCCTGGAAAAGCTGTGACAAAAGAATCATGCAATGAGGAATGATACAATACCAATTTGCAAAAGCGCCCTACCCATATGGCCCATGCAATTAGGAATGATACAATACCAATTTGCAAAAGCTGCAACCGATACAGAAACCGCCTAACTATTGCCAAACTCCTTCAATCTCAACCAAAAAAGTGGGCCATCCTGAATACTATCAAGCCAAATGTCATGCCCCCATTCAGAGAGGTGCACATCATCTGCCCAAAAGAAAGTCACATGCCGAAAAGCTCGTGGTTTGGGGCGCATCCCCCTTTCCCTTAAGGAGGTCAGGTAGTGCAAGACCAAAGTTGGCAGGCAACTGCACCTGCAGTATATTAGACTGAAAAGGAAATGTTAGCAGAGAGGCACACCAAAGCAAATCTGTGTACCAGAGGCATGACCTGCTCAGAGTGTGAAGACTGGCAGCTAATAACCCTGACCAAAGGCAGTTGTCACACAAAAATAGCATCCATATGTTCATAAAAAGGTCCTGGATGGGCCCTTCCATGGGTCCTGCTGGATGATGACCAAGATGGGGGGAAACTTGAGGAAGGTAAGGTCCTTCAAGATTCTGGTACTCTCCCAGTGGGAGAGCAACCGATGAGCACATAAATGCCCACTGAGATACAGCCCTAAACCAAGACTGCCTGTAGCATCAGAATATATTTGCAGGATATGACTCAAGTCAGTAGGTGACTACCAAATGGAAACCCTATTGAAGTTTGAGAGGAAGATGAACCAGACTTGTAGATCAGCCTTCATGCCCCATGTAACCGCACCAGGCTGACTGCATGATCAAATGAGGCATAATGCACAGCACAGAACTCCTGAGGGATGGCCTCATTGATGGATGAGCCCCTGGGTAGGACAAACAGTGAATCAGCTGAAATTCTCCTGGGGCTTCTTGGGAACCACCCCCAATGGGAACACTCTTAAATTCAAGAGGGGTCAGGTTTCAAAGGGCCACGCACTACTTGGCAAACTTAGCAGTGACCACATGAAGCATCTCTCAGGTAGATTTTAAGTTGCCTGAGTCTGAGGGCACTCTGGGCCCTGGTGAGATGAATGCCTGGTCTTTGTTGCCTCCATAGGCAATTGGCATTAAGGTGCGACTTGTGGGGTGCTTGGGCTAGTCCCCCCCAACCCTTTTGCAGATGGCCCATGTAGGCAAGCCTAGGATGTGGACAGCAGACATCCAGTCCCCCCAGATGCATGGGTTGATTCCTCATCTGATGAAGAGTCACCAGAGCTCCTGTCACTGTTGGATGTCTTCCTTCCTTACGTTACCTTCTGAGCGCTGCGTCACGGCTCTCTCTTCCTCATGGCCAGGGCATGTCTCAGCATGGCTTCATCCTCCAAGCTGCTGAAGCTGCTGGGATCACTGGGAGAACTCACCCTTTGCATTCCCTAGCCAGCTGTAAGGCTCTGGTGGCCTGGGACACTGCCCACCCCCATCCAGGGGAAGCTGCTAGAGTGACCTGTGCCTCTGGCACCAGAGGAAGGGAGCACAGCCATTTGAGCTGTTCAGTCAGGCACATCAGAATTGCGAAATGCCCTGCAGCACAGCTAAACTCTCCAGCCCTGAAAGTGTAGTATGGTCACCTGGTGCCCACTGTGAGATGGCAGGGCCCATCCAGAAGCAGGCCAGCTGCAATGTCCTCAGGATGTGGATTCGGTTCGGACAAACCGAAAAACAAACCAAATAATGCCTATTCGGCATTATTCAGGCCTGCTGAAAGTCAAATCAGATTCCCTAATCTGATTCGACTGGCTGAACAGAGATTCCTCGAATGGATGCTACATATTCGGCATCCGTTCGGGGAATCCCTTTACTGGGCAAGGAAGCGAAAATGTTTACACTTAAAACACTTTCTCTTGCTTCTGGGGCTCATGCCATCTCAGCGGAGTGACTCCCCTTGGCTGAGGAGTCACACCACAAAGGCAGCGTGAGCCCCAGAAGTAAGGGAAAGTATTTTAAATTTAAACACTTTTCCTTCCCCCCAGCTTTGGCTGGTGGGCTAGAGAAAGCACGGGGAAGCATTTTAAATGCCTCCTCACTC